GTCACCCCGTACAAGTTCCATTTGACTGTTGTAAAAACCTTCCACGAAAAGAAAAACTTCCTACATTAAAGCCATTAAAGTTAAACAAGATAAATACCGAAGACTTAAACATCGCTCATCACAAGCTCAATCAATATTCCGAAGAATTGGACAAACTAATAAATGAACCAAAATCTATCTCCTGGTCTACAATTATTACCTTTGTACTCATTGCTATACTAATTATAATCTACAGCCTCTATAAATTCAAACCAAAAAGGCGTACTCCCGTTATCGTAACCAACTTCAACGATGACTCTCCTCCAGCACCAAGACCAAGGCTACCAGAAAACTCCCAGCAACCCTGGAGACATCTGCTTCCAAGAAGACGTCCCTCCTTTCACCTAGGAGAACCAATCGAAGAAATCAACCTTTCAGAAAAACTATCTCAATAAAAGTCAATGCTATAGCATCGACTTTTCTTTATAAGGGGAAGCTGTTATATCATCCACAAACACCTTATCAGCACGTACAAAGATAACACCAACATTCCATATTTCTCATATTACCAAGAGATACACCAAGAAGCGGCGATCCCACGGAGTCAGCAAAACAATATTTAGTATAAAAACAAAATGTAACACATAAATTTCATTCATTATATTTTAACTAAGCTTACTAGAACTTTAATGTATTGTAATAAATAAAAATCTTTTTTTAAAAAGTAAATTTTAATTAAGTGAAGATAACATATATATTTATTTTGAAGTAAACTTAACAATGGATAACTTACAATTTCCCGGGGATTTTATAGTGAAGTTCCAGATGTTTGAATCCATGATTAACTCATCCCTTGCTGTTTTACAGGGTGAAATGAAGTCCTTAAAAGAAAATGTTGAGTTAATTGAGAGAGAGAGCAAGCGCAGTCAGGCCAGGCAATTGTCAAACGTCATTGTAATGCGCGGAATCAATGAAAACGTAAACGATCTTTACGATTGTTTACTAGATATTTTTAATAATAAATTGAAAATCACAGATATAAATAAACGGGACATCAATTACTGTTATCGCATTGGTTTTAAAAACAGCCAAAATAAAAAACCAAGGCCACTAGCCGTTCAGTTTTGTACTAAGTGGATTCGAGATCAGGTGTTCTTTAATAAGAAACACCTAAAAGGCTCGCAAATTTTCATTACGGAAATGTTAACCCAGGAAAGCCTAGATCTTTTTAAAAAAGTAAGGGAAGTAATGGGAAAATCGTCTTGGACCTTTAATGGGCGTAATTACGCAAGTGTGCAAAATAAGAAAATGCTTATTACTTCAGAGAGTGATTTATACAAATTATCCAATCCTGGGGGTAGTGGTAATAATGGTGATACAAACCGAAGTAGTGCTGACAATAATATTAGTGATATCAACCAAAATAGTGATGAATAGTCATAATAGTAAATTCTCTATTGCGGCATTAAATGTAAGTTACCTACATAATGTTATATTCCTGCTGTTATTTTTCAACAACTATTTCTCCAGTATATTATTTATATGTTATGAATATTGCAACTATGCTAACATAATTTACTAGGTTATTTTAACTTGGTCACAACTTTTATTAAATATTTAACTTTTTTTTCTACTGGTAAACACCTATGCACGCAACCGTTCTGCTCTGTTTATCAACCTTTTTGTTTATCGTTACATATATATATATATTTTTATATTGTAAATACAATAAAAAAAACACATTCATTTAATAATAGGAATCAAAACTTAAGTATATTTTATTTGTATTTTAGTCTTAATACTACTTTGTTTATCAACCTTTTTTTGATAGTTATTGTTAGTTTTTCTCATATTATATAATAAAAACACATTTACTTAATAGGAATCAAAAACTTGAGCATACTTTATTTGTATTCTATTCTTAATTTGGTTTTCTTCCTTTAGTTCTTTTATTTTAAATTAACTTTCATAATGAAAATAGGTCATTTAAATATTAGATCTGTATTCACGGGCTTTACTGACTTTAAATTTTTGGTTCAAGAACACAACTTTGATGTCCTTATGCTTAGTGAAACGTGGTTAGACGTAAATATTAGCTCAAATGTCATTAATATACCTGGTTACACATTTTTTAGAAACGACAGAGTAGGAAGGGGAGGGGGAGTGGGTGCTTATGTCAAGAATCAATACGCTTGTCAAATGATTCAACTCGAATTTTCTGTCAATGAAAACCTAGAGTATTTATTCCTAAAAATTAACACCAACTTACAAAATATTGCTATTGGAACGTTATACAGACCTAAAGACAAAAATATGAGTAATTTTTTAGAAGATTGTGAAAATATATTTTCTTTTTTGTGTCCAACTTTTGATGAGGTAATATGCCTGGGGGATTTTAATACCGATTTTTTAAATTTAAATAACCCAGTAAATTTTTGTTTGGAATCTTATAACTTATATCAAATTATTAATGAACCAACTAGAGTCACTAAAAGTTCAAGCAAGTTGCTGGACCCCATTTTTGTGTCAACAAAAGAATTAGTAGCCTCTAGTGGAGTAATAAACACTGATCATATATCAGATCACAGCCTTACTTATTGTGATCTTTCATTAATAAAACCGAGAATTTCTCAAAAATTCATTAAAGTAAGATCTTTTGATAGCTTTAGCCAGGAGGAGTTTGACCGCGACTTGAGGCAAATTTCTTGGCACTTATTGTTGAATGAAAATAACATTGACGAAAAAGTTAATATTTTTAATAATTTTATCATATCATTATTTGATCGTCACGCCCCCATAAAAGAAATAAGAATTAGTAAACCTAAAGCACCTTGGCTAACACCGAACTTAAAATTAATAATGAAAGAACGTGATAGAGCTTTGCGGTTTAAACAAACTAAACGTGAAAATGACTACAGTAAGTATAAAGACCTCCGTAACTTCGCCCTTACTTGTCTACGAAGAGAAAAAAAAAGCTTACCTTGACTTACTAGCTGACAAAAAAAATCCAAAAAAGCTGTGGTCGGCATTAAGTGACTTTAATTTAAAAACAAAGAAATCAAGTGAAATTCCCTATCATCTATCTAACCCTCAAGACATTAATAATTATTTTGCGAGTTTTTTGCAGACCTCGTCTAATAATGGACAAAATCAAATTGATTTTTTTGAAGCAAATTACTTTGAAAACTCAAACTCTTTTAGTTTTATCATGACCACTGTCGAAGAAGTAGCTTTAATTTTGCGTAGTCTTCGCTCCAATGCCTGTGGCGTGGATGAAATCTCAGTACAAATGATAAAATACTGTTGTCCTTTTATTATTCCTTATATTGCGAATATAATTAACTCTTGTATTGAGCAAGGCTATTTTCCTCAAATATGGCGAGTTGCTGTAGGGAGACCTCTGCCGAAAAAAAATAACCCGGAAGAATTCTCAGACCTACGTATAATCAGTATCTTACCGGCTATCTCAAAAATTCTTGAACAAGTTTTATACAAGCAAATCTATGACTACTTAACGGTGAAAAAAATTCTTCCTAATTTTCAGTGCGGTTTTAGAAAGGGATTTTCCACAGCAACAGCCCTTGCAACAGTAATAAGTGATGTGATGGAGGCTTACGATAAGGGTGAAGTTACAGCGCTAATTTTGTTAGATTTTTCCAAAGCGTTCGACACCATTGACCACAGACTTATGCTGGCCAAATTTAAATATTATGGGTTTGACGAACTTGCCTTAAAACTATCAAGGACTTACTTGAACGACAGATCTCAACGTATCACTTGCAATGGAAAAACGTCATCTGAAATGAACATACTGTCTGGCGTTCCTCAGGGTAGCGTTCTGGGGCCTCTCTTCTTCTTGGTTTACACAACAAGTATTTTAAAGGCGATAGAACACTGCAAGGCCCAGGCCTACGCCGATGATAGCCAGCTCTATGGTCATTTTGATATAAAAAACGCCAACAATGCCGAACTACTAATTAATGATGATCTAAATAAAATTCACAAGCTTTCACTAGAACATAACCTTAAATTAAACGCCAGTAAGTCATATGTCCTCTTGTTTGGTACAAAAGATAAAGTATCTACTTTAAAACAGCAGCTTACTTTGCAAATTGATAACACTCCTCTAAAAGTCGTCGACTCCGCTAGAAATCTTGGAATCATACTAGATACTGAGCTAAGATTTCGTGAGCATGTTAAAAAATTAATACAAAAATCGTTTCTAAGCCTTAAACTTCTTTACTCTAACAAACATTTTCTTAATAAAACATTGAAACGCAATTTATGTGAAAGTTTGGTCTTATCAAATTTTAACTACTGTGATTTTGTTTACGGCACATGCTTAGATGTTGCGTGCAAAACTCGAATACAAAAAATTCAAAATAACTGCTGTAGACTTATTTTTAACCTTAGAAAATACGATCATGTCTCTGAAAAAATAAAGGAACTATCTTGGTTGAAAATGGACAAGCGTATGAAACTTCATTTGATGAATTTTACCCATCAGCTTTTGCAAAGTCCCCACTCTACCCCTCTAAAATCTAAATTTATAACTCGTAAAAAAATCCGTTCATGTATTAATTTAAGGAGTGATAACCTATTGTCACTCCCTAAATATCGAACTGCGCTTTTCAAAAGAAGCTATGTTTATAATGCAATAGCATCATATAACTCGCTGCCCAGTACATTTAAAAATCTAACAATGATAAAATTTAAGAAAGAACTGAAAGAATACCTATTTGTAACATGATTGTGAACTGATTTTGGAAATATTGTGTGCTCCTTGTACGTGTTTTTGTTTCCTTATCTATATGATAGCTAGCTATATATATGTATATGTACTTACATAATTGTTGAGAATTTATGTTCGACCTGCCGTCATGTACTTTTTTCTTTTGGCTTCTAGTGGTTGAGTAGAATAGCTTAAAGCTAGACTTCGCCATACTGAAGCATATTTGTTTTGTTTATGTAATTTTTGGTTATGGAATTAATAAAGTAGTTTTTATTTATTTATTTATTATTTAAAAATTTGATGTGAATAATTGATACACAGTTTTGCTTAAAACAGCACCCAAATTTTTCTTTGAAGATGAAAATTGGAGGTTGGCCAGAAGTTTTTCTCCAGAACTCTCGGATATTAGTTTATATTCTTCAAAAAGCATTCTTGGCGAGGGATATTTTTCAACAATTGCTAATGCCTTCTCTACAGACATTCCCCTGATTTGCAATAATGATTTAATAAACAAATCTTTCACAGTTATTTTCTAAAATCAAAATTATGATAAAAAATATACATACTATGTGACATTGAAAACGCAACACCCAGATGAATACCAAGACGTGTCACTGATTGTCTTCATCAAGAGGTCCAACTGCTTTTTGAAACATTTTTGAGATGTTTTTTTCTAAATCAAAGGTGTCCAAAACAAAACAGCCTCAAAGTATAAAACATTTTTCTTTTTTTTGTAAAAGTTATAAAAAATAATGAACAAAAAAAAATTTAACACTTAAAATTATTATATTTTTTATTTATATCCTTAAAAGTAAAAAACCATATTAAAAAATACATATTTTACAAATTAAAATCGATATGAAGAGGCCCTAGGTATTGCGTTTTCTATTTAATTATATATACATATTTTTATATTTTTTTTGGACTACTAATAAGTATTAGTATTAGTAGTCCAAAAGATGTTTTCCTAAGGTAGGTAATTATACCTGTATTAAAATACTTGACTTTCCATTTGCACTCACATACGCATGTCATACCATTTTTTGTGTAATAACATTAAATTTAAGATTTATATATACAAAAAAGTTTATATACAAAAGTGCTCTTTTAGTTCCACCCTTACTTCTTAAGAAGTCCCATAAGCCAACTGAATGGCTTGTGCGGGTTAGGGGTAGGAACGGACCGCGGGCTTAAAGTCCCCTCCGAAGGACTAATACACAATAGGACAAACACAAATAAACAGCCATACCCCTGGTGGGATTCGAACCCACGACCTCCGGCTTGTAGTCAGCATGCACTAACCTACTAGACCACCGTCTTGTAACATTTTGTGAAACATTATTAGAAAATATTTATCTTTATATTCTAACATTTCTTGTCGTTAGAAATGGGTTGCAGTGTTGCCTCAATGGGTGCGTTTTTTTATATATTATAAAAAAACATATATTACAAAAAACATATTATATTTTCCTTTTTCTTAACGATATAAATTGTATTAAACCGTTATAATAGTATATTCTGTAACAAGTTTGGAATACGGCATATTCCGCTCGAGTGAAAATTTGTCACACGAGCCGAAGGCAAATTTGACGGTTTCACGAGAGTGGAATATGCAATTCCAAACGTGTTTCAGACTATACTTTTTTTACGTTTCCAAGAAAATACTATAGAAACATAATTTAATTGTGAGAAAGTGAGGTTGGATTTGTCTAAAATTTGTTAGATATTAAACACAGAGATGTCGCCACCAGTGTTTATTCCGCCATCCGATGATAGAATAATTCATTCTGTAACACATTACGACATAATTTGATTTTTTTCCCTCTCATGAAAAATTCCAATAGATTATGAAAATAGACTTAAAACAATGATATCCGTATCTCAGCGTTTTTTCAGATCACGTAATTTTTTTTTAAGTGCGATTTAATAAAATGTTATCCTCGGTATTCGGCACATAATATAACAGCTTCGATAACAGCAGGACTGTATATTTTTATGAAAAAAATTGTCACCGAATAAATGGACAACCATTAAAATTATTTATTTATTTTAAAATTATTTTAATTATAGGTATATATAGGGTGTTGTACATTTACAAAATACGGGTGTCACGTTTCACGTTTCTGAGGAACCGTAAAAGATATCGATTTGAAATTTTTAAAGCGTTTATAATCCAATTAAGCCTATTTTTCTAATATATTTTAAATAAAATTGCACTTCCGGTTTGTAGTGACATCAACTTTGTTATTTTAAATAAAACACCCCATATATTTTTACATTTTTAAATTTTAAATAAAATTCTGAACCATGTCCTGTACCTAAAGTGAATAGTTTTCTAGTTATTAATTTTTTTGGAATCTTAAAACATTGTTTAAAACATTCCATGTCAATTCTGTCCCAAAAAAAACCCAAGGCAAATTAGGCTAACTGAAACCGTAATAATTTTTTTATTTTAAATGAAACACCCTGTATGTTTTTACATAATCAAATAGAAAATTAAAAACATTTTGATTTATGTAATTATTCCCTATAAATAAATTTAATAATTTTAGAGATATTTAACAATTTTTAATTAGACCCAGAATAGGCAAGAAGGGCGGCGTCTAATGTAGAAGTAAAAATTAAGAAATGCTTAAATGTAAAGGGTAATAAATTTTTAATAAAAAATTTTGGTTTATTAAAGTGTTACAGTTACGCATTCTTTTTGTTTTTAAAATATTTCAAAAAATAAATTTTATATTTTATTGTCTTCAATTAGCTAGTGCTTTATCTATAGTTGACATTCTTCAGCTTTGTTGATTTTTTTCAAAATTAGTAAATATTGTTTGTAATACTTTTCAATTTTAAAAACGTATGCCTTGTCAATGTTTTTTAAAATTTGCTGGCTGCTTTTTTATCAGTAATTTTGTTTACAAAACACTTAATTAGTCAACAAGTTGTTTAAAACAACCTGAAAAATTGACGCCATTAAATTTTGAACAATTACAGATTACGTGGTATCCACAGATACCGTAAACTCAACCGTCACAGGTTTCTTGATACAAAATAATATTTAAAATTTAAGAAATTGTTAAATATCTCTAAAATTATCAACTTTAGGTATAGGGAATAGTTAAATTAATTGAAATGTTTTTTATTTTGATTTGGTAAAAACATACCGGGTGTTACATTTAAAATAAAACAGTTATTAACTTTTTAAGTTAGCCCAATTTGTACTGGGTTTTCTCGGGTAATTTGTTAAAAAATGTTAAAGAATTGACATAGAATCTGTTAAACAATGTTTTAAGATTCCAAACATTTTTAAATACCCCCATATCCGTAAACCTAATAGCAAAGATTTAGAAAACTATTTACTTTAGGTATAGGACATGATATAGTAATTTTACTCAGAATTTTATGTTAATTATATTTTTGGAAATTACAAACGAGTTTTTAAAAATTATATTTATTGTTTAGAGTTTTACAGTAAATCAAAGAGTGTTTTAAATTGTAAAGAACAAGTACTTTTATAAGTTCGTATGCTGAGTCTGCATGTTGTGTTTCAGCATATTCATGGAAATTCTTTAACATAATTTGTATAATTTAAAAATGTAAACATATATGGGGTGTTCCATTTGAAATAATAGTTGATGTTGCTTCCGGTCAAACCAAAAGTGGCATTTTGTTCAAAATATTAAATAAAATAGACTTACCTAAATTGTTTATAAACGCTTTTAAATTTCAAATCCATATCTTTTTTCGTTCCCTTAAAACTTCCAATGGACCACGAATGTTAAACGCCCTGTATATCAAGTGGTGTTTTTTAGGTTGTGATACCACTATAGATTCTAAAGCAATGTATAATCGTCAAAATAAAAGATCAAGATTTGTTTTCAACATATATTTAATATAAGATAAATAAAAATCTATTGTTTTATTAAAAAAAAAACAAAAATTAAAACCAGAAATATTTTTTTTACTTAAAAAATAAAATTATTATTTTCTTTAAGTATAATATTATATAAAAATATTTTAATACAAAAAATGATTTATAAAAAAATAGAGAATTAAAAATCTGTATAAAGTCTATTCAAATCCAAGCTGGACTAAATGTAAACACAATCCTCCGAATCGACCAATAAGAACTCACAATCCGAGTCACACCATCAGAATCGACTAATAAGAACAAGTTATCATGCGTCTGGGCGTTTTTGTTTAGTCCAGCTTGGATTTGAATACACTTTAGGTTAAAATAATAAGAATGGCTGTTTAAAAAATTTAAATGACGTGATTTCGTGAAACGGTGAGACACGGGTACGTTTTATTAAGCTTTATTTTTAAAATCTGTTAAAATTTTTCATGTGAGGAAAATCGTGTTGAACATTAAAAATTGATATTCCATAATAGGAGTAGAAAAAAAGTACTGAATATGACTGTTCTAACCACTTTTTAATGTGGACTTACATATATTCCTTAAACTGTCATAGAATGAATTATTTTACCATCGGATGAGAATAAACACTGGTGGCGCCATCTCTGTTTTATTATCTAACAACTTTTAGACCGATCCAACTTCACTTTCACACAATTAAATTATTTTTGGCAGTCTAGTGCGCCGCCGGCGTGGTTTTAAAAATTTTATGGCTACGCCGCGGCGGCATGGTTATGTTATGTTATGTGTACAAGAAAACTTAAGCCTGAATTATAGATTGCCTTCCTTCCTTCCTCCCGTAGAAGATGAACATTACGTAATTGTCACCATTAACATTTCCCGTGTAGGAATTTTTAATACTTTGTGATAATATTTTGCAATTATAGTAATAAAAAAATGAAAGAATAAAATATTTTCTTAACAAAATCATATTTTGAAGTTATTTTAATATTTTAAAGTATCAATAATTGTTAAGTTTAATTAAAATTAATAGCGGGCAATGTTAATGGTGACAATTACGTCAAAAATGTTTATTTAAATCGTAGTGCCAGTTATAGATTTCCGTATCGTAAGGACGGCATTCCTTCCTCCCGTAGAAATTTTTAAGTTTTATCTTTTACCGTAAAGGTCTTTGACATGACCAATCACAGTGCTTGTTATGGACATGCGCTGTAGGGTGACAGCGCGTAGACACAAAATATTTATTTGTTTAGTATTATTTAAGGTAGGTGTTCAGTTTATTAAATAATTTGTGTATCTAAATAGGATATTTAGATATTGTTTATGATCAATGTATTTCATTTTTAGAAACGTTGCTTTGTAAAACCCCGTAGTTTCCCGGTCCAACGTCTTATTCGATGTTTTTTTTCATTATACTGCCCTACTATGAAGAAAGGCAGTAACTACAAATGCGTTTTCTTGTGCTATGATAAAGCTATGGACATTTTGTATCTTAATTCAACAAAGAAATGCAGTAAACTATCTTTTAAGTTTAATAAATCAGTTAAATACCTACTGCTTTTTATAAAAATGTAGTTTATGCTAATTTCCCACAAATTTCTTGTCTAGCAGTTACTGCCTTTCTTGATAGTTGGGCAGTATACAACAAGCTGCCTGGGCAA